TTTTTTCCCCGTGGAACGCCTACGCTGCTTCGAGGCTGTGGATGATATCTGACTCGTGGGCGCGTCTGTTGACAGAAAGAGGTTTCAGTCTTACGTGCTCCGAACTTTTAATGTTTTTAATACACACGAGCAAACACTCACGTCGACACCGGGGGGGAATCAAATGAGCCACTCGACGAGATCCACTCGATACCATAGCGCGAGCGCATTCTGCCGCTTGTTCGTTAACGGGTCGCAGACCGCGATATTCGCCCGAGAATAATTTGCGAGATAGCCACGGAGTCTCGAGCATCAATATTGACGCTCGAGCCCGAGGAGCGAAGAGCCTAATGATAAGACAGAGGAAGTACTGAGTTTCCGGAGAAGGGAGGATCCTGCACGGCTCACATTAGCGGAATATTCGAACCTCCCTCAACCCATCAAAGAGAAATGTGAGGTAATTTGCCGAGAGAAAACATCGCCTCGGCGAGGAAAACTCTTGAGGAGCCCCGTCACGAAGGCGTCGTCATCAGCAAGCTGCAGAATCCAATGTTCGTTCGAAGTATACCGATAGAAAATACTCTCAGCTCTAAACCACGAGGCAATATCTGAGAGTCGGAGCGCGCCGCGAGGGCTGAAACGTCAGCCCGAAGGAAAATAAGAGACCGGTGTCGTTATTCGGGAATTCCACTGCCAATCTGGGCCACTCGAAAGTGAAAGCTGCGGAGGTCGCCTGGAAGGACCGGCGACTGGAACTCTGGGCCCCGAATAGCGAAGCTCTAATTATGAATTGATTTTCCTCATTCATAGCGAGAGCGAAGTCCCCGTCCAGACTCGTAGCTTCTCGGCCACGCTCGAGATTGCTTCAGGAGGCGTTCGGTAACGCTTGAAGCCATGGAATCCGAAACTATTGATGCGACTTTGTGTCTAGAGTGACTCTTAGATTGGAGTGTTTCATTCGATTGTCCCTCGGGCGGACACTCACTACTTGATGTATCGGTCACGCCGCCGGGCTCAGCAACCCTTCCACTTACGAGTCTCAGTCTCGCGTTCTTGGGGGAACGTCCGAGTCGCACGACCGACGTTCAGACTCCAGCGGACGCCATTAGGAGGGAACTCTAATCGGTATCGGGAACTAACAAGCGGGGAGATGGTGATTACGGAGCAAACGAACCGAGGTTCCTGCTATACGAGGTATCCGGGAAGGAATCGGCGCAACAACGTACGGAAAACACGGAACGGATTCTATCCCCGTAATTGAGGACCTCGGCCTCCGTATCGAGTTGTAGCCCAAACAAGCTCGGTGGGCGCCTCGACCAACTCGGGATATGAACTGGCTGTTCATGTTCTGGCGCTTCGTCGATGTCACAGCTGGTGGCTCCAGCCGAATATTTCGCGACCCGACGCTTTTTAGGAGGAAGTTTCTCTTTCCTCCTACATCGCTCCGATCGGACCATAAAAGCCTTGTCCCTGTGACCGTGCCCGGGAGCCCAATCGTGCGTCTTCGCAGCGTTCGAGCGAGGCCGGGCGGGATGCAATCGATGGTAACCCGGAACATCGCGACGCTCGGAGCACGGAATCGTATCGATCTGCATCGACGGAGAGCAAACCAGCCGATCAACTGGCCGAGCAGAAAAGGAACAAATAGAGGAGGTTTGACGAAATGTCAAATCAGAGGGAGCCGCTTCCGTAGCAAATTGGCTGAGAGACGAGCCATGTGCCAGAGTGTGACTGACCGGCGAAGGCTATGGTTAACCGGCTGACTTGTATGCACTCGTTTCTTCGTGAAAGAAAATTCCGCCCTTTCGACGACTCCGTTCCAATATCTCGGCGGGGTCTCAGAAGACGTCTTTATGGGCCATCTCGAGGAGACGACTATAACGGAAGACACACAGACGGAGAACTACATAGATGGGAGAGACAGCGAGATCCTGATGCGACTTGTCTTCCGCGCGACTTTCCCATCGTCAATGCTCTCTGCTCTCCTGATTCTTCTTTCCCGTCGACATTGTCGCGAGGATCAGAGCGCGCTACAAAGAGGAAGTTTAACGGAAGGGAACACGGCTCACCGAGACATACTAAACGGGTTAGCTCCTGCCGTCGTCTGCCGCAACGAGCGGGAGGGAAGAAACTCTTCGGGGCAATGCTTTCCTTTTCAAGCGTGAATCCTGCCAACCGCAATTAGCTCGCTGAATGAAGGGACGCTGGTGCATCATAGAAAGTATTGCAGTCGTTGTGGAGCGGAAGGACGGATGCACACTCGACTAACTAACTGGAAGGGAGTCATCTCGTTTGTCTTGAAGGTCAATACTAGATAACATGATGGAGGGGAACTCGCGGAGAAAGCTCCCATTACGTCGACCACTATCAATCAGGACAATCGGCGAAAAGCGTATGGCTTACGATGAAGCACTTTTCTCCAGCCTCTCGTAGCCAGCCAGCAAGCGAGCCCGCCAGGTAGCTAGGAGGCCGGCCGGCTGGCTGGCTCGATGGCTCGATCGGCGGATCGGTTTGTCGACTGTGGAGAAAAAAAAGGTCACAGCACGCTTGGTCTGTCTCTCTTGATAGGTTGGATTACGAAAGAGTCCTACAGGAGAACGTTACAGGAAGAGGACCGAGGCTGATCCTGCCTACCACCGGCGCGGGGGCTGCCGGAGTAAGCGGACCCGAGACTCTTTGCCAAATTGCTCCACGAGGAATAATACAATGCAAATAGCCCCAGACTACTCGTAGAGGCGGCACACGCGAGGCTAACAACGTCACAAAAAACACGCTTCATTCTGATGAAGGTATCCGTGCAGCTCCCATTCACCCGCCGAACGGCGGGCTCTGAGCGACGAGCTAGAAGAGGCAAGAACCCTCGACATTTTGCTGTCACTTGGTATGCATCGGAAACGCTCTGATCTCCCACACGTCGTTTGATAGCCCCCGCGATCCGCTCGAGGGGCGTAGCGACCGTTCGCGGAAGCAGAACAGAGTGAGCATCCTCTGTGGCTGAATCGCTTCGGGAAATGAAGTTTAGAGCTACGGAATCGCAACACGGAGGTTTCCGATTTTATGGTGAAAGGAGGAAACTCCGTCGCGGCTCATATATTCGGAGCCTTTGAAGACTCCAATGGAACACATCGTTTTGCATGTGTTATCCTCGAGCGGTACCTACCTTCGGGTCGAAACATCCGCCTGCCGCGAGGGGAGAAAGCCTGAGAAAGCCTGATCACATGCTCAATCGGCGGGGGGGCCGTAGACCATTCCAATCGGACTGAGCGTCGCTAGTCCGAATGCAGTGGATCGACGAGCGGGATAAATTCAATTATCTGCGAAGCTTTGAGTGTTCCGAATAGGTGGGTAGATTGATTGGCGCGAATTTCCGACTGCAACTCCAGTCGCCTACTACGACGTTTTAGATGACCTGATTAGTCGACGAATTCCAAATCACCTTCAATGAATGCTCTCCGGCGACCTCGATTGAGTTCCGTAAGAGGACCAGGCGGAACAGGTTGCAATTAGAGGTTCCAAGGTAGGATGTCCCAATTAAAGTGGCTCGTCCACGCTAGCGATCCACCCGAGCGACCGTGGTGGGGGACGACGCGAAAGACAAGTCCGATACATTATCATAGTCGCTTTCCACTACGGAGCTGCGAGATTCGGAAGTAGTAGTCAGGCTAATCGGAAACATCGTTCGTAACTCAAATCGGAAGACAGCTCTCAAATCTCGGTCTACCACCGGCACCCGGAGCGAATGGGAGAGGACGACGACGGTCATCAAGCTAAAATACCCTGAGTGGCATTTATTGCCCCACCATCTCGAGGGAACCATACTGCCTTTGGGACACTGCGGTCAATCCGCGGGCGGGAGCGTCCACCCGTCGGTCGTACGTTTGTCGGCGAGTGCGGGGAACGAATCGTTGGACGGCCGGCCGGTCTGTCCGTCGTCAATCGGTACGTCACGTGGTCTTCAAGGGAGTCGATTGGTAGGGACGTTCGCTTGCACGCCGGATAGACGGCCGGGTGCTGTTGAATGGGTGGCGGCAGACGCAGCGTCTGCGAGAACGAAACGCGCGTGTGCTTCGTGTGAGTCGGGTAATTATCTTGCGTACCTTGAGGCGCTCCGGCCGGCAAAACAAAACCTCTCATTCCGCTGTTCTCGTTAGTTCCCTTGCGTTGGGCCAGGGGCAAGTCTAGTGCCGACCCTGCTCCACTGAATGGCTTGCCGACAGGCGCGGAATCTGTAATTTCGAACCGAGCCCTCCAATGGATCGTCGTCGTTGAGCAATAACGGTAAAACGCCTCTTAGGCTAGCGGAATCGAAAAATGAAGATGCTCTGAGAAAATTCTCGAGTTTTCCATTCTGTCTTTATCATCATCTTCAGTGCTTGTTCTCTCTTAATCTTCTTCCTCCCGATTCTCTGAGCGGTAGCACAGCTACCTCGACTTCTTCCTACCAGCTCGTTTGGCAATGCCTCGTCACGGCGTCTTACCAAGACCGATGGAGTCAACGTCGCGAGAGCCGCAACGACAGCTATTGTGACATATTCCTCATTCGGTGATTTTTGTGTCCAACATCTATTTCATTGTGAGTCTGAAAATCTCGGTCGACTATTGCACTGCATTCACAACCAGTGCGAATCGGATTCGTTCCATATCCGCCTCTGGGGGAAAAATCCTGTGCCAAATGCCTCATCGAATCAACATGGGTGAGGGATGTGATATCGCGGATTCAATCGGCGCCATCCAGGTCGAATCCTCTCGATCCGTCTTCTCAGTTTCCTCAGCCTACAGTTCCCTTGCATTCCTACGCATTGTTATGTCACTCCGAGTTATAGCTATTTCGGTACACACTGGAAATCCGAGCTACGTGTCCAACATCCAGTTGCCGGTGCAGCTTCCCCAGGTGGGCGCTTCAGCTCCGGTGCCGAACGTCAGCTATGCTCCGTGATATGTACGAAACCTCGATGAGATGGTGGGTACCTACTATATGCGTTTTTTGTGAGATATCACGCGGAGTACATGACCGTAGACCACTAAACGTTCGTTCGCGGTCCGTCGGCTTCTTCCTTGGCAATGTCGTGCCGGAAAATCAAAAACAAAATCCAGATAAAAATTATGCCGACAATGTCGAGCGCCGCGTCGCTCAGAAGAATAACCTCTGCTTGTTCTAAAAGTGATCTGATGTGGCCGTCTATGAGAATGCCGCAGCCTCTGCTGTAGATCCCCTTCCGAGGAGTGTGGTTTTTCGCGAGAGTGATGTTCCGCGCAAACGTGCAGCGCTTTTTGAAGCGACAGCACGACGCCGGGATTAGATAATCCTTATCCTGGATAGGCTCTCCGGTGCGACTGACGTTACCTGGAAGAGATTCGTTCGTTTGCTTTTCGATGCTAAATAAAGCACCGTCCGCGGCAGCATCAAACGCCGCGCCGCTTGTCCGAGCTATCACCGAGCTGGCTTCGACGGCTTACATGATAAGTCGAACAGATCGGTAGAATATTCAATTATCGAATCTACTGCGGTGCTACAGCTCTGTGTCGAATCCACCGACTGAGGTTGAGCAAGGGACAAGTATCAACGATCAGAATCGTAGGGAGTGTTATAAGTGGTCGTGGGAACATAAAGGTATACCGGTATTGTAGATCGAGTCCGCCCAGTCGGCGGGACCTTCGACGCCGCAGCACTTGAGTGTGGATTGGACGAAGTCCACGACCATGGTCAGGTGATCTCGTCTTCCATACGCTTCGAACAATACTTCCTCGAGTTTATCACGCACCTGCAAACGGCCTCTCGGTGAGTTCGGATGCCGTTATCCTGCCGATCGGATGGAACAAATGTTCCTATCGGGGAACGGCGAACTTATTCGCTCCCCTGGAGCTTGCTAGCGGACGGACGACTGCGTCGATCTCTCTGAGCGCTGTTCACTTCGAGCTCTAGCTCACAGAGAAGTCTTCTGGTAGTTTTGGGAAAAAAGATCCAAAGAGAGACCGACCGATCGACTGACTGACTGACTGAGTGTACGTCGACGACGGTTGCATCTCCTGCGATTGCTACCAATACTATACTAGGGTCCAATCAGCCTTACCGAAGCGCGTACAGCCGAAGTCTCCTTGTTAGAAATGTAGATGCTGGCCGCGAGAGGCACCAATAGAATAGTCGCAGTGAGCGCAAGGAGACACGGTGACCGGCATACGGCGCCCAAGAAACCGAGGATTCCGGCGATCGTTGTGAACAGGCCGCAGACTGTGGTTCCGAACGACAGGAGGTACAGCAAGGTGGTTTTCTCTGCGAGAGAGAGAGAGCGATGGGTAATGAAGTGTTTGGAATGGCCATCGCACCACTTTCCGCTAAATGGGAAGCCCCTTAGTTCCGATTCACGTCGTTTCCCGCATCCCTTCCCTCCGGTTCAGACGCCCCTCTCCGTTCATAGTCGGGAACGAGCGATTCAGCAGAATCGCCCCAAGGTCATTCCGGACCTGAAGCTTGCCGAATCGAAGCTTCCTACTTTCCTGCGCGAAACTCGAGTATTCGTCTCGCGTGTTCCCGATGGCCGCACTCGTGACAAACCCCGCAGCAGGAAAACTCGGGATCCGTTCGATGGAGCGGCTCGAGGATCGGTCGGCCTCGTCAGCCCAAATCCATGCATACGTCGATAATATATTTGCAATGGTGTCTCTCCGACAAAGGAAGACTCACCTCGGGGTTCCAGATAGGTGTAACCAGTGCTCACGATCGCGACCGACAGTAACACGAGGGCGAATCCCATCAACACGTTGACGAGGGAGTAAAATATCACAAGTAGCTTCACGAGTTTCTTCTTGGTACTCATATCATCCGTTAGGAGATTGACTTCTGCAGTTTTTTCGTGATCAACAGCGTTTCATTCGAACTGCATCATTCTGCATGTTTTGTACGTGTGCTTCGTGGTCGGCAGCGGTGTCCGACTAATTGACCGAGCGACTCGGGAGGCGAAGTCATCTGATGATGATGTTTCAAGCGACTGAACATTGAGGAAGTCCTCGGGGACCAATCCTAGAGCGTTGGAGAGGTTTTCTGTCGCGCGGCGACGAGGGCACATGAACACACAACCATCGATCATGTATGTATAGTCCTAATTGCTTCATTTGGGAAGGGCGTAGTGGACATCGAGCTACGGCCTCAAACAAGCGCTCTCGACGTCAGCGACGAGCGTTCGGCTGCAAGCTCAGCAAATTCAGCTCTACCGGATCATCCGGAGCTGCGTCCGGCAAATCCCACTCCAATTTCGACAAACTCAACTCCAAACAAATTCGACTCCACTCGAGAGAATCGACTTTTCCTCCCGCGGGCACTGACCGATCAGCCAAACACTTGCTGGAAGAATTCGTCTCCGCTCTCCGAGATGTCGATACCACTTCCCCGGGATTCACCTTCACTTCAAATACGTCTATTTCCCCTCTGAAGGAACTTCGACGCTCTCCCTCGCTGACACGATCGAAGGCGGTTCCGACAAATTCAAGAGAATTCGATCCGGAGAATCGCTGTACGACGTCCCAAGCTCACCGAGTTCCTCAGCGGATTTTTGTTTTCGGAGAGTGGCCGGCCGACACGATGAGTTCTCGCTTAGCGGTAATGCAAGCAAACTGTTCGATTCAGGCTGCGCTGAGACGCCGACGAGAAACCATGAGGAAAATGAAAGTTGGAAGCACCTGGCAACTTGCCGCGCGTTTTGTTCAGTTCGTACGCAATCGAGGGATCACTCCATCGCTGTCGTCACTGAACGTCGTGGTCAACGAGAGACGAGGCTGTGAAAGTTTTCCCGGAAGCTCGAAGCACTTGTTTCGCGTCCTGAAGGCCATAGTTCAGGAACGTTGAGGAATTATCTCGAGGCTAACTGATTATCCGCGGCACTTATAACGACCAAGTAAAACGATGAAAAAGCTCAAAAGCACTAGCCGGCACGAAGCACAGCCGCACTGCTTGTCAGAAGCGTGCAGTCCGCTCGCGAGTTCGGAGCTGAGTGGGACAGGCTGCTTGCTGCACTTGCTCACAGCGAAGCCCCTTTGCTCTCCGCCTTGGCGGTGGTGCGTTCACGTAGGTGGCTCAACACTCAACAGGTCAGCATTGATTTCACCGCGGTCCCTCGCCGTTATTCCGTGTTTGCGGAACCTGGGGTTGGGGGGAATTTTCGCCTGATTGACGTCGAAAGATCTGCACCGAAATTTCCCCGATCCCTTCCAATGAGAGTGGCACAAAGTTCTTGAAAGCAGCTGCTCCGATGGAGTTGTTAACCTGGACTGCTACCCGCGCCTGTGGATCGTGGCTCACATCGAACTCCTGGACTGGGTATTAGACTTCTCGGGGCGGGTACGTTCACCGAGAAGTCGCTAAAAACACCAGACAGGACGATTCGAATTATCTGACCAGGGAATTGCCACCCTGTTGCGTCGGGTTAAAGTACAGGCGCAGCACGTGGTATGTTGGGCGAGGACCGATGATAGAGGAGGGTTGTTCGTGGGAAGCACGTCCCATGCGTGGACTCACCAACGTTTCTACCTTCCGTTGTGAACTGTATTTCAGGCTGAGATCTGAACCAGGATTTACAATGGATATTCCGAGAGGAGGACGCGGTAACGAGAAGTTTGGACGGTACAGTGAGATTATGTCGGAGAAAACGATGATTTCACTGAACTCGTCTCTAGCGGTGCTCAGCGTCCCTGATATTGACAGAAGAACAAACGCGAGAAGTCTGTTTCCTCCCCTCGACGCCCCCGGCTCTCGAGAGGAATTACCTTCAGCGAGCCGCGGATGAGCGCTGGCCGAATATTCGCCGACCTGTATGCGCCGAATGTGTCGGACTGAGCCAGGGTGGAGCATTGCGATTGATTCGACGACGAGCACCCCCAGAATTACAAGGTTGTCGGCTGGGACTCACCGGCTTTCCGATTACTAAAGTCAACCGACCGTTGTTATAACAACCGTGAAAATGAACGGTGAGCTGGACGGAGACGGAAGCTCGGCGAGAAAAACGAGAACCGACAGAATCGATCTAGGACACGACAGAATTCACGGACGAGGGCTACGGTATACGAAGCAGCTCATCTTTGCTCCTAGTTTAGCGCCGGTTAGAGACACCTCTGTCAGATGGTTTGTCATAAAACGGGAAGTTGTAAATCCCCGAGAGAAGGATGCCGAGGGCACGGTAGCCGTCGTAAGAGTTGCCGTTCAGTTGCGCGGAAGCTTCTCAGCAGACCGTCATGTCCAGTGTTGCGGATCTCATTAACCGTTTGAGGTGGTCGTGCCCGTGGCCTTCCTGGGCGTATTCCCACCGGGGAATGCGCGAAGTAAGTGTCAGCCATGTCGATTGTTTGCCGTCATCGGATGTGCGCCGAGCAGGAGTCGTCCGGGGGGATTTCCGATTGCTCCCGACCGGGAACGGACGGCATCTTTCCAGGAAAATAAATTATTAGGAAAATGAAGTCACCCGTATGAGACGATGGCTACCAGGCAGCCGCTGAGACTCGAAGCCCGCCTGCTAGCGTCCTAAGCGCGGGAATTCGCTCGTCTTGGAAACTCGAGTCCGATATCGCTCCTCCTGATTTATAACGGTAATAAAACGCCGCCTCGAAAAGCAGACGACGAGAGAATGGACGGTCGATCAAAACACTCGGGAACTCGGGGAAGACTCCGTGTCCCCTTTCATTGGCCAAGGCTTAGATCTAATTGATGTAGCGCTAGCGGCGACGTTCAAGGAAAACGTAAAAACCGTCCCGGAATCGTTGCTGCTTTCGTTCGTAGCTTCTCGGATCGTGTGGGCCCTGGTGGGTCCCTATAGGTTTCGTCCGCTCACGTGAGGCTTCAGATGGGAACTTCGGTCCCAGTATTCTGCGGTAGGTCGCGTTTACGGCGTAGCGAGGGACGCCATCCGAAGTTGTGATATTCTGTCCGACGTTAATGGCACGACCCGGTCGTCTGGAGGAAATGGGTCGCGAACTTTCGCAAGAAGGGCTCTAATCGGATGGCCATTTCCGGCGGCGTTCGGTGGGAGAGGGATTCCGAGTCTCGGACTTGTCCGTGGATTTTTGTCAATGACGTTTGCTCGAATGAATGTTTGATTGACTCAACGTGCTCGCGAACGAAATTGCTTTAGGATAGACTCGGAAGTCGAGCTGCTGCGTAGGCAGCTGAAGCAGCGTTTTCGAGCCCGGAGTTTTTTTCCGCCGGGCAAGTTCCGACTCGATGTTGTATTCCGGTCGCGTCTCCTTCGGAGCTGCTTCCAAGGTGGTTTTCCTTGCTGCTGCTGCTGCTGATGATAGAGGGAACTGTTCTCATTTGGGTGCGCTCTGAGCGTTCCGTCATTGTGGGAGTTCCGTCCTCCAGAGCCTCATTTTTCGTTTGTGACTGTCACCAAGCGTCCTCTTTGGGGATAAGATCTGATTCTCAACAAGAGCAAGACGGAGGAAATGGAGAACAAACGGCCGGAGAAGGAGCGGACAGTCGAGCGGCCGGGCGGGCTGTCGGTGGGTTCCGGGCGAGCCTCTCACAATGCAGACTCGGCTTTCATGTTGGGCCGCTGCCTTCATCATAGCAGGCTGGTTCCGGCGCTTCTCGGGCTGGAATCCGAGCGGGACACCGGAGTTTTCCGAGAGACGGACAACATATGGCATGAACTCGCCGGTCTAAGGATGTCCGCTGGCGAGACTCGGCCTTCAATGCCCTTGGAGGCGGCTCAGAACTCGCTCATCGCTCGTTCAATCGCTCGCGGGAATCTCTGACCAGTCAGCAGAACATCGGAACTCTATTCCTCCTCGATCCTACCGAATGGCGGAAGTCTTGCTCACAATTCACTATGTCGTTTATTCCTCGCATTGATTGGGCTCGCTGCTCGGACCGACGCAGGAATCGCTGGACGAGGACGAAGAGCTCGACGACTCGGAGGGAACAGATGGATAAATAAGTGAAAAAGGATTCCACGCCGAAGCGGAATTGGTCTCAATATTATATTTCGGATTACTCGTGTAATAAGTAATAAGCTTTTGCTCGGTCCGCCTGCTGACTGGGGACGCTATGAAGGTCGACTATTCACTGCTAACTCCGCAAACGTGACAACGGCTTCATTGATCTAATTTCGAAAATGTTCGTCGCGTCGAGGCTACCTCTGGACGAACGGACAGCGATCCCATCCGTGAACTCACCGTTATTTAATTCAACCTTGACGGCAGCACCGGGCAAGCTATTCTGGAGAAATCCCCCGAGCTACTCCACGCCCTTGACAGTCTCGATATGGAACCCGCAAGAAGCGAGAAATATGAGCGAGTGTTAAAAACTCACGAAGCACAGCACTAGAAAAGCAGACGGAGGATGGCGGAGTTCCTTTCATGTGGGAAAAGAATGGAAAATGTTCGAGAGCGCGCGAGAAAGAGAATCAAAGTCGATCCTGAAAGAACATCCTGTGCCCACGTCGCGTCGCTTCGAGCTTTTCAGCCGGAGCGCGACAGCGGTTCATGATGAGCCTGTCCAGCGCCAGAGCTTCATAACTTTGACAGAATAAGACGAGCTCCTCGTCTGTGCCGGACCGGTGGTTGACACGCCAGACCGGCGGCTTCGCTCAAAATACTCCGGGGAGATCCTTGAAGCGCACGAAGTCTGCGGCGCGGAATTTTCTGCGATCCTCCGATAATTTCGAGAATGCCGTCGCTTCAGATGCGGCTCGACCGTTCCGGGAATAGCTCTCCTCGAACCGGGCGATGTTCGAGCCGCGAATTTCCTCTGGCGGATAACGCGATTATCGAAGTTGCTCGTCATCAACGGTGGGCTACCCGTCGAGATTTTCGAACGATTCATGGCAGC